TCTCCACCCCCTGCCCCTGCCATCCCTCCAAAGGAAGAGGCACCTGAGACCGTGGAGAAGAAAGACCTGGAGCTGGAAAAAGAGGCTGCTGGTCCATATCAGGCCTTGTTCCCAGGTAAGAGAGCCCAGCTTTGGCAGAGTCCCATTGTGTTTGTGCCTGCCTCCCTTTTTCTCCTTGGCTCTTTCCTGCTTCCATCCCTTCCCCTAGAGAAAACCACGTAGCTCCTCTGAAAGGCAGGGGAGAGGCAAGGACCAGGGGTAGCGTGATGGACTTGGATCGATGCCTAGGTCTTAGGGGCACCTGGGGCTGTAGGCTGTCTTCTTCCCTTGGGTCGAGCCTGGGTTGCTTCCTCCAGGGCTGAAGTCTCAGTGGGAGAAGGATGCAGGAGGCAGATCTCTCTCCGGTTGCAGGAGAGTGCTGGAAAGGTGCAGAAGGGACCTCTGGGGTGTTGATACCTGTGGCAGCTTGGCCAGGAGAGAGGTGCTTGGCCAGGAGAGAGGTGCCCAAAGCAGCCACTGCTTGAGAACAGGAAGAGATGAGAGAGGAAAGGAACCCGTCTCTATACCTTAGTGAGAGAGGTGCTTTGGAGACCCAGCCATTACACAGCCTGTCCCTTCTGATGTCTTGCAGAGATCCCCCCAGGATATCCATTCCAGTCCCTGCCTCCCTCCTTTGGAAGACACTATCCCTACCTCCTCCAGCCCACCGCCGCATCTGATGCGGATGGCCTGGCTCCTGACGTCCCGCTGCCTGCCGAAGGCTCTGAGCACATGGAGCTTTCCCCAGAGGTCAAGCCCATCCACCTGTCTCCGTCCAAAATGCTAGAGCCCATCCAAGCAGCAGCAGAAGAGGAGTCCTTGGAAGAGAGAGTGAAATCAGAGGTGCAGATGGAGGAAAACCAAGAAGGCATCTGTGAGCAGGACATGGGGACTCTGAACATCACCACCTCTGCAACTGTCCCAGTGCAGAATGTGGACAATTGCAATCTCCTATTGCATCAAGGTGAAGCCCTGGGTGCTATGGAGCAGGACCAGGAAGACCTCCAGAGCTGCCCACCTCCTTACCAGGTTGTGGCCTGCCCCGCAGAAACAGAGGCTCAGGCAGAGACTGGGAGCGGAGCAGAAACCTGCTCTGTGCACATGGACTATGACGGTTCGCTCGTGCACGCAGAGAACGAGCCGCCTGAGATGGACTTGACGCCCCAGCGGGAGGAGGCCTCTGTAGCCATGGATCTGCAGAGCGCTGATGTGCCCCGGGGGAGGGAGTTTCCCAACCTGCCCCCTGAGGAGGGGGAGCAGAGGCCAGAGATCCCTTCCTACACGGAAGAGGCAATCTCTTGCCAAATCCCAGCTCTGGACATCAAGCCAGGCGACCCGCTGGCTGGGATGAATGCTTTGGTGGCTGCCACAGAAATGCCTCAGGCTTGTTCCTTGTTGACTACCGCCAGCGTCACTCCATCCCAGATGAAGGTGGAGGTGTTACCTGACCAGGCCTTGGAGCACTCCTTCCTGCAAGGGATCACTTTGCTGAGTGAAATTGCAGAGATGGAGCTGGAGAAAAGGAAGCAAGAAATACAAAGTAAGTTGTGAACGCCGAGTCTGGCCAGCCTTGGGCCAGGTTGGGTCTTCTTGCACATGGCCCTGGCATGCTCTGGGTGGGCAGAGGAGCAGAGGCACAGGTGGGGTCTCTTGCAACCTCAGACGGGCAGCAAGGAGAGCATTGCCCTGAGCTGCAGGAGCGGATGGTACTTTGGATGGAGTTGGAGCAGGGTTTTTGTTGCAGTAGGCTGAGCTACGTGTGGCTTTTGTACTGCTCTCCCCTTCCAAAGGCCCTCGCCATGTCTAGACATTTCGTGGTATGTGTAGCGGAAACGGAGCCCCACTTGCCGAGAGCTGCCAGGGTAACACCCTTCTGGCAGGCACTGAGTCTACAGTCTGTCGGGGTTTGGCACAAGAGGCCCCAGTAGCTCCAGATGATGCTTTCCAAGAGCTTGGCAGGTCCTGAAAAGATCTCACCTTCCAGTAACTTCCTGAGGCGAGACATCATGGGAACTGCCAGTTGCACCATGGCTGGGCACAACAGGAGATCTTAAGTTGGGGCCCAGGGTGGCTGGGAGGCTCCTTGAGCTGCCATGGTCCAGAAAGGGGCATCAGCCTCTCCTTGTGCCTGCTGGAGGAGCAGTCTTGGAGAGTGAACCTCTATAGCTTTTTTTTTTTCTGTCCTCAGCAGGTCCAGAGAGTTTCCCTGTCCGGCCAACACTGGAGAGTTTGCTGGCTGCCAGCACCCACATGCTCATGGAAGTACTTTCCACCCCCTTTATGGAAAGTCTGAAAACCATCCGGCTGCCTCGAGAGCTGAATCCCAACAAAAAGTACAGCTGGATGCAGAAGAAAGATGAACCCGTAAGTAGCTCTTAGTGTGGCTGAGCCTGAAAAGCCACAGTGCATCCACTCACCGCAGCTTGCTCTTCCAGCTGCAGTTTGCCACCGGGCTCGTGCTGCCCTTCTGCATTCAGCAAAGCGAGCCAGCGCTTCCCTTGCGTCGCGTTCGTAGCTGCGCAGGAGTCAGTGTGGTGCGATTTAGCTTCCTCCCTTCTTGGTGAATCAACACCATCGATCTCAGCAGGACCCTCGGCAGCCCTAGAAGTGGTGTTTGTAATACAAAGCCAGCAGGAACTTGTACGTTACTGCTTTGGCAGGGGGGGGATAAATAAAGATAGTGGCAGGAGGGTTTTTCCTTGTTTTTTCTTTGCTGACTCTTCCCCATGGGAGAGACTGACAAATTATTTTGTACCCCACAAGTGTTCCAAGACAGGGAATGTTTTGATCTGCCTTTTTAAATAAGGGAAAAGAGACTCCATGGACGTATTTAATCCTGCAGGTTCTTTCCCAGGGTTGCTGTCCCTCAAAGCTGATACCATCCCATGCATAAGCCACAGAACATCTTTGCTTGGCTAGTTTTGCTCGGGTACCACTCTAGGGCTGTGCTTGTTGCGGGTGAGGGTGCTCTGCTCCACTACAAGCATGGAGGGCTTCCCTGCCAGGCTGCGGATTTTGGCCGTTGCAGGGGCACCCCAGTGTGCACCACCCCCTGTCTAGGTGGGGGCCTGGACATGTCCTGACCTTCTTGCCCCCTCTTGCCTCCCCACCCCAGATGTACTCCATCAAATCGGCCATCGAGAACATGGATGCAATGGAGCTGGACTACAGGATGAGGCTGGCGGAGCTGCAGCGCCGGTACAAGGAGAAGCAGCGTGAGCTGGTGAAGCTGCAGCGCCGCAGGGACTCCGAGTAAGTCGCAGGCTGCTCACTCGGTCTTTTTTTTCCAGCTGGGCACTTTCACTGCCTCTCAGCCCGGGAGAGAAAACAGGCCTCCATCCCTCCCTGTCTCCTCTCCTCTCCTCTTGGTATGGTCTGCCAGAACTTGCACAACACACTCCTAGGCTATGTGACACGACAACCTGATCACTGGTGAATGCAGCTGGGAGACCGTATTAGAGACAACCTTGGCTTCAGCAGCTCAGTTTAGCAGTTTGGTGACAGGCAAAGGTTCTGGGTTGGCTCCCGTTCTTGCTTGCTTTCTTTTAATTTTTTTCCCTTTTTCTTCTTTTTTGGATTTATTTGCTTTATTTTTTTTTCCTGTTTGTTTTGCTTTTTGGTTGCAAAATTTGATTTTGCTTTTTTTTTTTCTTTGCTTTTTTTTTTTTTTGTTGCCTTGGTTAACAGTGAAGCGTGTGGTTTTTTTAAAGGGAAAAGCATGACGAGAAAAGTAGAAGCTTGGCGAGAAGAGGCCCTGGAAGGCCCAGGAAGAGGAAACTTGGATCAAGCGCTCTGTCACCCATTAAGGAGAGAGGGAAGAGTGACAGCAAGAGTGGAAAGTAAGGCTGGAATTTGGGGAAGATGGGAAAATGGCAGGGTCGCTGCACCAGGGTCTTACTTGGGGAGAGCATCTCGGATGCAGCGGGGGCTTGCTGTGGCGTTGTGTTGGCAGGCCAGTCCTGGAAACAGTGTTGTGGAAGCGTGTGCGTTTAACGTGAGTGTGTCCTTGCGGTGGGAATACGGTGCCAGCCTCCTCCCTCCCCGCTGGTAGAGCACATGTCTGTGGTGTTGCGTGCAAGTAGGACAGGTGGAGTTGAGCGTCAGTGAGGTGATACGGAGCAGCTGGCTGGGCAGGGACCTGCAGGTGAGCTCTCAGTGTCGGGGAGCACGTCCTCGTCTGTTTTCAGGAGAGTGGATGGTGCAAGCGGGTGCTGTAGAGCTAATTGACGCTGATGTCAAAAACTGGAAGGACAGGACTGTTCGAGGTTATCTACTTTGTCGGGCCTTTCTGCTGTGTTTCTGCTGTCTCCATCTCCTGTTCCCTTAATCAGTGGGAGTTGGTTTCGCCTGACCTCTCTCTTTCAAGGGTCTGGATCATTCTGTCTCCTGCTTGCTTCTCTTTTGCAAGTCCAGCTGCTCTTGTTTGGGTGCCTGGATCTCACCGCTGTTGGCCATCTAACCATCCATAGGCGGCCAGATCCCTCCAATGGGAAGGCACCTCTGAGCTGTCTCCCTGCGTGCTATGTATTTTTGCAAATGTCCGTTCAAGACTACAAATTAGATTCAGGTGCCCAGCTCCCACTGACCACGTGCTTCTGAAAATCTGTCCTCTCGGTGGCTTTGTGTTTTGCTTCTCTTGTTTGGATGGCCGGACAGGCTGGAGGCATCCAGAGGTGGCTGGAGTTGTGCATGTGTGCGTGCATGATTGTGTTGCGTATGCATGTCCCCGCATCACAGGAACGCTTGAGCAACCTGATGTGGAAGCTGCACCCTCAGCCAGCGTCCAGGGCCCGAGGTGTTGGTTTAGCTGTCTGTGGAGGTCAGCAGAGCGGCCAGAGGGGACGGGAAATGCCTGGAAGCTGAGGAGACTGCCCCATGCTTTGGGGTGGTGGTATGACCTGGGCCAGCAGGCTTAGCATGAAGGAGGTGGCATATGAGAGCTTTTACTGGAGGCTTGGTAGAGGTCTTGAGGTGTTGACTGATCATCAATCAGACACTTACTGGAGACAACTGGGGAGCAGTGAAAGATGTGCTTATAGTCTCACCTACTTTATTTTTTGGTTTTTTTAATCATTTATTTACCCTCTCCTTTCCCCCCAAATCCCAAAGTGAGACCGAAGATGCAGATCACAAACGCCTCTTGCAGAGGGGCTGGGCTTGTAAAGTGGATTGCCTGTCCTTGAGTGAGCCAGTCCCTGCAGTGCCCTTGTCCCTCTGTGCCACCCTGCGTGGCAGTTCCTTACCACCTCCTTGCTCATACCCGAGCAACCAGAGCAAGTGTCTGGGCAGTGAGGCACCTCCCTGGGCCTCAGGAATCTCTCTCTGCACCTACAGAGTCCATGAAAGTAGAGGTGGGAAAAGACCTACGGGGCCAGCTCAGCTGTCTGTCCTTCCCTCTGCTGCTCTGTGCCGAATCAGGCACTTTTTGGTGGCTGTTACTCAAGACACTGAATGCTTCCTTTCAGAGACCACCTTGCAGGTCTCTGATTTCAGGCAATCCTCATCTGTGCTGGTGGCCAAGAGTGTGCAAGAAGGGCTCCTTGGCTCTCCTGTTTGGTGGAAAACTTTGTCCAAGCTACTGTCTCTTCACAGTGGACTTGGCTCCCGTTGAGGATCCCCACTGTCCTAGGAGGCATTTAACCTCGCTTTTGATCTTGGTGGGATCACAGGGAGAAAAGCCCCCCACCTTGACCCATCCTGTGCTTGGCTTGCAGACTGAGCAAGTCCTTGTTGCTCTCCGAAGATTCCGAGACTGGTGAGGGCATGAAGAAGAGGCACAAAGGCGCCCTCCCAGAGGAGGACGAGGATGTGGAGAGCAGCAGTGGCAAGATGAAAGGGAGGAACCAGAGCTGGGAAGAGCATGATGTGGCTCCCAGCTTCTCAAACGAGGTCAGTGCCCTCATGGGGAACATGGAGCCACGGGCCAAAACCAGATCTCTTTCCTGCTTTGCTAGTGTTGGCTTGCACTGGATAACTCCTGATCTTAGAGCATCTCCTCTCAGTTCACATGGGTTTAGAAGCTCTTCACGAGAGGACTGCCTGTGCAGCGGAGGGGTGTTTGCAAAGGCTAACGTTGGCTTACAGAGCTTGGACCTCTTTGGTAAGCAGCAGAGAGGCAAGCGCCTTCGAGCCAGCCAGAGCATTGCAGTGTTGCACTAGCTCGGAGTCCAGCGCACTGCTTGTCTTACCCCTTTGCCTGTCAAGATAGCAGAGGGGAGCAGACTTCCCGAAGCGAGGGAGGAAAGGGAGCACAACCTTGCTATTTTAAATGCAGGGTTTTCTTCTGCTCCTGTTGAGGCAATATTTACTGGAGCTTTAAGCTGCTGATGAAATCCAAAATGCATACAGGCAAAGTACTGCGTTACAGCTGCTGTTATCTAGCTGTAGCACATGTAAAGTATATTTACTTTTTTCAAGAAGCAAGAAAATACTGAAAAGGGTATAACGCCCTGGCTGTAATGCAGTGTTGCTGATGCTTTTGCTGAGAGGTATTTGGGTCTTTTTGGCATCCCAGCCTCTGGAGCTGGTTGATTATGTGGAAATCTGTATTTATTTGGCTGGGGTTTTGGGTAAAGAAGATTTTTAATCCTTGTGATTTAGAGAAAAGCTTGTAAAACCAACCCAAACATATCCTAAAAAAACCATGTTGTTCTGTGAACATATTTCTTTTGGAAGAAAATGCAATTTTTCTAAGTTAATCTTGTGATTTTGTAGTGCTCGATAAGGGTAAAGCTGTTCTGTTTGCTGACATCTTCCTCTTTTTCCTCCCTAGCACCATGGTGGGTTATGGCAACTGGGGCTTAAAATCATCATTTTGAGGCCTTATTAACTAGCATGCATGAGAGACTGTTATGACGGCTAGTGAAATCCCTCAGGTCTGCCATGGTATCTGCTCTGTATTCACCTGTGTCTCTTCCTTTCACCTTGGCAGTTAAAGCTCAAGAAGAAGAAGGTACCATCGGATCAGGAGCAGTTGGCCAGCAAGCTTGACAAGGCCCTGTCGCTCACCAAACAAGACAAGCTCAAATCCCCTTTCAAGTTTTCCGACACCTCTGGGGGAAAGGCAAAAACTAGCGGAGGTGGCAGCAGGTACCTCCCACCTCACGAGGCTCTGCCCAGCAAGGAGGAGAAGAAGAGCCTGGCCAAAAACCTGGGCCTGTCACTGAAAACCACCAAGGAAGGTAAAAACAAAGTGGCTGCCAAAATGAAGAAGATGGAGGTGGGGTTAAAAGTCAAAAATCAGCTCAAGGTTTCCCATTCACCAGCAATATCTGAAGTTAGCAGCTACTCCTATAGTAAGTAACCCCTCATTTATCTATCATTTATCTCTTCTTATGGTGTAATTTGTTGTGGGGGCTTGTGGTGGGGGTTTCTGGCCTCTTGGAAGGGGTCTTTTTTTGGGTGTGGTTTTGCTCATGAGTGAAAGGTGGCCTCCTCCCTGGCTAATCAATGCTGCTGTGTCTTTGGGGAAGCATGAGTTGTCCACCCAACTCACCATCCAAAAGGTAGCCAATATCAGTGCGTCTCTTCCTGGCCTGTGTTACACTGATCGTCAGTGGGGAAAAATGCTTTAAAAAAGAAGTTGACCCACGTCCTTGCTTTTGGTGGGAGTAGATACTCTCCATCTACCCGTCAGATGAGGACTTACAGCCTCTGCTCCAGGAGGTGGTTAACGATTGACTGTCAAGGTCCTTGGTGAGTTGGGTAGGAATTGTCTTAGGATGATGCCATTTGGAGAAGGCAAAGGCTGCCAGGGGGCACTGATGTTCGTAAGCATCCTCCTCCCCTTCAGTGTTGTGGCTTGGGTCCTGGCTGACTGTGCTCAGCCTTCCCATCTGTCTCATCAGTGTTCATCTCCACCCTGGCATCCTGTGCCGTTTCTGAACCCAAGGCACCCGAGGCAAAGGCTCCTGCAACCAAGTGGAGCTAGGAACCCCTGCTACAGAAGGAAAAAGCTGAATTGCAGATAGTGTTGGAAAGGCAGTAGAAGCAGAGGTAGAAGAGTCTTTAATGGTTCAGGCAGACAATGGGGCAGAGAGCATGTGAGGGACTTGGAGTTTATGGTCTGAGGCCTGGTTGTGTAATTGTCTTAGCTCACTTGCGTACGCATCTTTTCCTTTGCTTGCAGCTATTTAAGTCCCACGTTAAAACTCTTACGGGGTGTTTGTATGCATGACAAATGTATCTCTTGGTGCAGCACCGGTTTAGAAATTTCACTAATGGGGAAGATGATGAGCTAGTGATTCTCCAACTGAACAAATGTTTGGCATGATGTTAGCCATTTACATGGTAAAATAGGAGCCATTGTGTCCACTGGACTTGAACACAGCCTTTGGCTGGTCGTGCTGTACACACCACCCAACAGTTCTGCTCTTGAACATGCTTCACTCACCAGGACAGACACATGGCTCCTAAACTGGGAGCTCTGGAGCTAATGGGGAGAGGAGGCATGGGCTGTTGCTGGAGCAAAAAGCCTTGGCTCATGGCAGAGGGAGCTTTTGCAGTGCCCTAGCACTTGGTACTGAGGTCTCATGAACAAAACCTCCCTCCCAAGCCTAAGGCAGCTGCTGTTTGACCCCTCTCCTCTCCAGCGATTCTGGTGTAGGAATGTGCCCCTTCACCACGCGATTCTCAGCACAGGAGGATTGTTGTCACTGAGGAATCGACTATGATATGGCTCAGCTTTGGTGTGTGATTTTTCAGCTGTGTGCAGGTTCAAGGAAAGGGCTTTAGCCTGTCATTTAGTCACTCAAGTGTGATGGATTTGGGGAGGCAGGTCGAGCATATGGCAGCACCTCCCATGACTGGTGGGCTGCTCTTGTGGAGGAGGAGAGGGGGGACTGGCGCCAAATCCTTCTGCCTCCTAACCTCATGATTTCCTAGCTGGAGTCCTGAAAACCTTGGGCATAGATCCAAAGGGTGAGCTGAGCATCCTATTCCCACAGATTTTAACAGAAGTCAGATGCTCAAAATCATTTGCATATTTGGGCTTTGGGCCTCCTAAACTTGCTATCCCTTGTTCCTTCATCTCCACAACCAACACAGTGGAGGTGGGGAGCAATGCCTGACCTGGGCTGACACTGGAGGGCATCTGCTGCTGCTCACACGCTGGAACGGTCCCCACCACAACATCCATAATGTTGTGGAGCTGACGGTGCCTTCATGAGCCAGGAGGTGACAATTCATACCCGCTTTTATTGCGTCCAAGGATACCGTATGCTTCTTGTTCCACTCATCAGGTGCCAGAGGGGACCGCTGGATAACTTCTCACCACCCGCAGGGCTTGGCAGCTTTGTAAAGCCACAAGTTCACAGACTGAGGAGAGGCTTGGTCCCTGCTCCGTTTCAGTGTCCTTTATATTGCATACTGCAGAGCATCTGGGGTGGCACGGTTGGAGTTAGGCACTTAGACGTGTTGCCTGCTTGGCAGGCTGGGCTCGCTCCTGCTGCACATGTCGAAAACCCTCTGGGAGAGTTGGTTCATGTAGAAAAGGAGATTTAGGTCAGCGTGTTGAACATAACCATGGTTAAGACTAATTCAGGTCAATGTCCCAGTTGTTGGTATTGCTGTGCCTTCAGTGGACATCTTCATAGCGGAAATGTCTACCTCAGTTTTCTGCTCTTGAGCTGGATCCTGTTTCAAGGGAGGACAGGACTCCTTTGGCCTAGGTGGAGAGTGTCTATTTCTGACCAAAAGAAGGAAATAGGTATTTCTGTGGTTTTTTGGCTCCCACTTGCTGAGCTCGAGACTTTTGATGGAGGGACCTGATGGGAGTGGAAAATGGTGGTACACGGCCCCTGCTGCAGTCGCTTTCCCCTCCTGGTTTACAGCCTCTTCACAAAGAAACACACCAAAGCAACCCCCCAAAAA